GCCTAATTGAATTTGTCAATTATTAAACATTGTTTATGGTAATTATTGTATGACATTTAATACTAAAATTATTAGGTAGAATTTTTATAATTAAGGTATAATATTATTACGGAATGAGGCATCGCCGGGCTGTCAATAAGGCATTGCCGAGGCGACTTCAATTTCGCCGGAGACCTTTCCACCGACAGAGGAGTTGAAGAAACCAGACCATTCGTTATAGAAGAATCGGACCCGAATCTGCGTATACAGGGTTTTTTTTTTAAAAAAAAAAAATTAGTTTGAATTTTGTGTTCTGGAGGATATAATATCACTGTAGCTCTCTAGTGATGTGTGATTTACTATTTTTATCTTCTGTAAAAATAGATCCCGAGCAATTAAATGCTGTGAAGGAGGCATTGCATGTATCTACTGCTCCATCAACCATAATGTGTTGAGATGCTGAGCAAAATCGTGCTCTGGAATTTTGCAAGCAATGTGTTGAGCAGGGGAAGGCTGGAAGTTTGTATGTTTCTGGGTGTCCAGGGACTGGAAAGTCACTCTCAATTGAAAAGGTCAAAGAAGCATTGGTTGATTGGGCTAAAAAGGTAATGCTCTTATCATCATCATCACGTGGCTTGATAATAGATACTCTGAAATATGAGGGGCAGGCAGTTTGAACACATAGCACAATGTTTGGGAGCTACAGTATTTTTTTTTCCATATAAATATGATACATGCATTTTTTTGTAATTCAGTTGATTAGTAGATATTTCTGCTGAGTGAATCACATCTGTTAGCTTTGTAAGAGTGTATGCAAGTTAGAGACCTTACTTATTCTTTTTAAAGAAAATTACATTTTCTTGATTGTAAACAGTATTGGACGCATGTTGTCTTTGATCTGTATATATTACATACTGGTAAACTTGATATAACATGTACAAATCTCAAAGTCAACATACTAACTCTAAGTTTAAGAAAATCTTACAAAATTATCAAATTTACCATCGTTATATCCTCGATCGCATCTTCACAATCTTCTCAGTAAAATATAAACATATTCATCGTTTTTCTTAATATTTCATTTCCTTTTGAATATATTCATTTCTTTTTTTTTCCTTCATAAAAAGAATTAATATTGATTTCTATTCATTTTTCCTAATAATTGTCGATTAATTGGCCTGATTTCCATGTCGATTAGGATATTAATAACGGATTTCTGTGTGAAATATTCATTTCCTTTCTGATTCAAAAATAATATAATTATAAAAATATAATTACTGATTATATTTCTAATAAAATATTAATATATTCATTTCATTTTTCCTTCATAAATAATTAATATAAGTATAATAATTATAATCATATAATTACTGATTATATTTTAAATGAAATATGAGTATATTCATTTCCTTTTTCACTCATAGAAAGAGTCAATATTCATTTTCATTTCTTTTTCCTTCATAATTTTTTCATAATATTTCATGTGGTGGTTACTAATTTTTTCGTAGGGAAAGGGGTGTTATATTTTCAATAAATTTTAATATTAAATCTTTTTTTCATTTGGCCTGATTCCTGTGTCTATTAGTAACAAAATATTAATAATAGATTCTCGTGTGTAAAATTCATTTTTTTGTGTTCATATTCATTTCCATTTTTCTTCATAAATAATTAATATTAATATAATTATAATAATATAATTACTGATTATATTTTAAGTGAAATATGGATATATTCATTTCCTTTTTTATTCATAGAAAGAGTTAATATTTGTTTCCATTTCTTTTTCCTTCATAATTTTTTCCTAATATTTCATTTGGTGGTTACTAATTTTTTTTGTAGGACAAATTGTGTTATATTTCCAATAAATTTTTAATATTAAATCTTTTTTTCATTTGGCATGATTCCCATGCCTATTAGTAAGATAATATTAATAATAGATTTTCGTGTGTAAAATTCATTCATATTTCTGGTCATAAAAACAATCTGGTACGTTTGTAATATTCACTTTCAATCACAAAAACAATTTGGTACATGTTTAATAATCATTTCCTTTTTCCTTTACCTTAATTTTCTGTGTAGCAAATTAGTTATTTACTTATTAAGCACATTTTTTTTTTAATTCGAGTCCATTTTTAATATTAATTTCTTTTTTTCTTTTGGTCTGATTTCTGTGCCAAAAGCTGTGTTATATTTTTAGTGAAATATATTCGTTTTTCTTCATATTTCATTTCCTTTTGAATATATTTATTTCTTTTTTTTTTCCTTCATAAAAAGAATTAATATTGATTTTTATTCATTTTTCCTAATAATTGTCGATTAATTGGCCTGATTTCCATGTCGATTAGTAACATGATATTAATAACAGATTTCTTTGTGAAATATTCATTTCCTTTCTCGTTCATAAAAAGAATTAATATTCATTTCCACATAATTAAAAAGTAATATAATTATAAAAATATAATTACTGATTATATTTCCAGTAAACTATTATATATACATTTCATTTTTCCTTCATAAATAATTAATATAATTATAATAATTATAATAATATAATTACTGATTATATTTTAAGTGAAATATGAATATATTCATTTCCTTTTTCACTCATAGAAAGAGTTAATATTCACTTCCATTTCATTTTTCCTCATAATTTTTTCTAATATTTCACGTGGTGGTTACTAATTTTTCGTAGGGAAAGCGGTGTTATATTTTCAATAAATTTTTAATATTAAATTTTTTTTTTCATTTGGCCTAATTCCCGTGTCTATTAGTATAACAGAATATTAATAATAGATTTTCGTGTCTAAATTTTATTTTTTTCCTTTCATATTCATTTCCTTTTTTCTTCATAAATAATTAATATAATTATAATAATATAATTACTGATTATATTTTAAGTGAAATATGGATATATTCATTTCCTTTTTTTCATTCATAGAAAGAGTTAATATTTGTTTCCATTTTTTTTCTTCATAATTTTTTTCTAATATTTTATTTGGTGGTTACTAATTTTTTTCTTAGGGAAAACTGTGTTATATTTCCAATAAATTTTTAATATTAAATCCTTTTTTCATTTGGCATGATTCCCATGCCTATTAGTATAACAGAATATTAATAATAGATTCTCGTGTGTAAAATTCATTCTTATTTCTGGTCATAAAAACAATCTGGTACGTTTGTAATATTCATTTTCAATCATAAAAACAATATGGTACAATGTTTAATAATCATTTTCTTTTTCTTTTACCCTAATTTTTTGTCTAAAGCAAATTAGTTATTTACTTATTAAGCACATTTTTTTAATTCGAGTCCATTTTTAATATTAATTTCGTTTTTCTTTTAGTTTGATTTCTGTGTCAATTAGTAACAGAATATTAATAACAAATTTCATTATTACAATTAATTCTTTAGTTTTTTTTTTTTTGAATTAGAATAATGATAATTGTAATTATATTAATTAATTAATTGTATGAATATTTTTTTGCAATGAGATACAGATCTACTAATATGCAATGTACCCAGATGTGTTCTCCTGCCTCAAAGCCTAATGAATCATACACATGTTGCATCTTAAATACGCGTAGATATAGACATTCATTTTTTTTTTTTTTGAGAATGCTAATCGATTCACTGATAGTTGAAGGTAGATAACAATACTTATAATATGAAATTAAACCTTTTGGAAGAATAATATGAAATTAAACTCAAATCCAAGTTACTTTACATCTATTAATCCCTAATTGAGATTATATAAAAAGGAAATGTAGATTTAAATGATTTCATCTAAGAGCTTGTAAATATGGTGACTGATTTAGTGTTTTTAGAGAGACAACGTGCTTTACCAATTCGCCAGGAAGAACCAATCTCATGCCGGCCTGGATCTCGCGGGAAGTGATTATCGGCTTCTTGTTGTAGTGGGCCAAGCGAGTCACCTCTTGGGCGAGCTTCAAGAAGATATCGTTGATGAAGCTATTCATGATGTCCAAACTGCAAAATATATTGAAATACGTGAGAATATAGTTAGAAAAATGTAGAAAATTCATACAAAAAGAAAGCAGAACGATGAGTCTGAGATTCTTTGATTGAAGAAGCTCTTGTATTTATAGGTAGAAAATACTAATTCAAAAGGAAAGTATAATAATTTATTTATTTAAGGAAAAGTATAATAATTTATTTATTTAAGGTAATAACATTATTATTATTATTATTATTATTATTATTATTATTATTATTATTATTATTATTATTATTATTTATTTATTTATTTAATTTCTATTTGACATTTACTTAACCAAATAAGTTTTACTACAAAAGTTTTGGGGGAAAAATTTGTTAGGAGGATTTTACTTTTATATATATATAGATATAGATAGATTCCATTTGACATTTACTTACCAAATAAGTTTTACTACAAAAGTTTTGGGGGGAAAATTTGTTAGGAGGATTTTACTTTTATATATATATATATATATATATATATATATATATATATATATATATATATATATATAGATTTAGACAACTATTAAAAAAAAAAAAAAAAGTACGCAATTACAATATATATTTGACAATACAATGACAAGATCAAATACAAAATTTTTATTCACATTTAAGGGTATCCTTAATTTGTATATTTATAATGAATAGTTATAGAAATTTAAAGAAGTTGGAAATATTTTATACCATATATATATATATGTGTATAATTCATACAAGTCTAAAAATTAAATTAATATGGGATTTTTTTAGAAATTCTCTCTTTTTTAGGTATGAAGGTAATTAAAATAATTACTACGAGTATTATTGAAATTAATAACTATAAAAATCGTAAAATCAAAATTAATTAGGAAACTAAACAAATGTGAATTCATTCTTCCAATAAGGTCTCCAATAAATGTGAATTCATTCTTCCAAAAGATGTGAATTCATGTAGACTTGGAGGGTGGTAAAATTCATCCATGCCTACCTCGGTACTAAATATCATTCTACTGCGTATATAAATATAAGATTTTTGTTGAACAGAACGATCCATGCAATATAGAAAAATGGGTTTTCTTGTTGAAGCTTTAGGGGATTATGAATCCATGATTTTATCCTTGGTTGTTTTCCCTGTGTTGTTGTTCTTTCTTGTTTCTAGGTTTCTCCGAAAACCTTATCCGCCTGGTCCGAAAGGTTGGCCGTTGATCGGCAACATGAACTTGATGGACCACTATTCACACCGCGGCTTTGCCAAGCTGGCACGACAGTACGGCGGCTTGCTACACTTCCAGATGGGTTCTGTCCACGTGGTGGTGGTTTCGGGCCCGGAGGAAGCCCGACAAGTCCTCCAAGTACAGGACAATGTATTCTCTAACCGCCCAGCCACCATTGCTATTAGCTATCTCACTTATGATCGGGCCGATATGGCTTTCGCCCACTACGGCCCGTTCTGGCGTCAAATGCGAAAGGTTTGCGTGATGAAGCTGTTCAGCCGTAGGCGGGCCGAATCGTGGGATTCCGTCCGCGACGAGGTTGATAAGATGGTGCGGGCCGTGGGCGCGAGCGTCGGGTCGGTCGTGGACATTGGCGAGCTGGTTACCGGGCTGACCCGAGATATCGTTTACCGGGCCGCTTTTGGGTCGAGCTCGAGTGACGGAAAAGAGCAGTTCATTACCATATTGCAAGAGTTTTCAATGCTGTTCGGAGCGTTCAACATCGCAGACTTTTTCCCTTGGCTAAAGTGGGCCGACCCACAGGGCCTAAACGCCAGGCTCGTCAAGGCCCGGGGTTCGCTCGATGTTTTCATCGACAACATCATCGAGGATCATATGCAGAAACGTAAGGATAACAAAGGAGGGATTAACATTGGATCCGACACGGACATGGTGGATGAGCTGTTGGAGTTTTACAGCGAGGAAGCCGCAGTGAATGAGACAGAAGATTTGCAAAACGCCATTAAGCTTACTAGGGATAACATCAAAGCTATCATTATGGTAATTAGTCCATAAACTAAATCCTTTAATTTATTATTTATTTTCTAATATTTTCAATTAAAACAAATATTCTTTCATTCTCGTCCTCACACAACAATATACACAAATTAAGAATAATTAATTGGTTAACTTGATAATCGATCATAAAGATACAAATTTGATCCTTACCTAGTAAGAACGACCTATTTATCTCCTTAATTAGAGTCAATTAACTATTTGCTAGTTAGGGCTGTACATCCTAATGCGTGCTGGTGACTCACGGATCTCTAAGTCTCTAATTATATACTCCGTATTATATATAAATAATATTGGCACGTAGCCCATAGTCCAAAAAAGCCCGCTCCTTGGCAGGCTATTATTTGTGAAATTCACCCTGTATCTAAGTAGGGTCGGGCCAAACCGAGCTGAGCTAGCGGGCAAAACCCGTTTTGACAGCTGGACAAAAGAGCCCACTCCTTTACCGGCTATTATTTTTGAAATTCACCCTCTATCTAAGTAAGGTCGGGCCGAGCCGAGCTAGCGAGTAAAACTCGTTTTAACAGATTTACTCTATCTTTTCAATTTAAGTATGAAATTTATTCAATGCACACCCTAAAAAATAATAATAATAATTTGATTTTGACATTTTTGGTTATATTATATTGAATATTGAATTTACCCAATCACGTACTTTGATTACTTTAGGATGTAATGTTTGGGGGAACAGAAACGGTGGCGAGTGCAATTGAGTGGGTGCTGGCGGAGCTGATGAAATCGCCGGAGGATCTTAAAAGGGTTCAAGAAGAGCTGAGCACCGTGGTGGGCCTTGACCGGAAAGTTGAAGAAGCCGACTTGGAAAACCTCACATTCTTGAAATGCGTCCTGAAGGAGACTCTCCGCCTCCACCCACCCATCCCTCTCCTCCTCCACGAGACGGCGAAGGCCTGCGAAGTCAACGGCTACTACATTCCGGCGAGGTCGCGCGTGGCCATCAATGCATGGGCCATCGGACGCGACAGAAACAGCTGGGAAGACGCGGACAGCTTCAAGCCCGACAGATTCCTCAAACCAGGGGTAGCAGATTACAAGGGGAACAACTTCGAGTTCATTCCATTCGGATCGGGCCGGAGATCCTGTCCGGGCTTGCAACTCGGGGTTTATACTTTGGAGGTGGCGGTGGCCCATCTTCTTCACTGTTTCACTTGGGAATTGCCTAATGGGATGAAACCAAGCGAGATGAAAATGGAGGACGTGTTTGGACTCACTGCACCACTCGCCAATCGACTCGTCGCCGTGCCCGCTTCACGCTTGTCCTGCCCGCTTTAAAATGAATTGAAGCACTTTATATATATTATATATATATGTATGACTGAAGAATTGATTTATTTGGCCCCTACAGGCCGGCTACAAACATTAATGTTCGATCTGCTTGTTTTCTTTTTCATATTTCTTGTTCTTCAATCCGTGTTACTGCAAGACTTGATTTCGAATATGCAGGAAATAGAAGCATTTTATTACTTTTAAGAATTTTGCTTATTGCTAGCTAGTGTACGTTTATATGGCTTATAGTCTTAGAATAATTTATCAGATAAATCTGAGTGCGTATTAAAGTAGGGATGGCAATGTGCCCCGTCCCTGTTAGGAACGGGAACGAGGACGGGAAAAAAATTCGGGGATCGGGAACGGGGATACACCTCCCAGCCCCGCCCCGTTCCCGAATAATTAAAAAAAAATTTATATATATTTATATATATATATATATATATATATATATATATATATATAATTCTTTTAGGAATTATAAATTAGATTATACATACTGTGCTCTACTGATTTAAGCATAAAGAATATACCTTACATACTGATATTGTGTATATATTATATATTATTTCAATTTTTTTCTTTTTTATTTTTAAAAATTGTAATAATTTGACACTTTAATTATGGATTGACCGGCGATGGGGATTCTCCGTCCCCGCCAAATTCTCCGCGGGGACGGGGATGGAGATTTTTTTCAAATTCCCATCGGGGACGGGGATGGGGATAGGGTCGGGGTAGCGGGGGCGGGGAGTATAGCCCCGCCTCGTTAACATCCCTATATTAAAGTCTCGGGCTTCGTCTCCCGCAGTCTTTTTTTTTTAATTAATTATTTTAAAAAATATATTTTTAATTTTAAAATTGGTAACCGCCAACCTATTTTTAGATAAACAGGTCATTTTGAGTTGAATTGCATGAGTTAATGTTATTCAAGATTTCAATTGCAAATTTTTTTATTTTTTTTTTGAATTCAATTACCTAGCTATTTGACCCTTATTTTTATTAATAATAGTAAAATTAATTAAATTTTTTTTGTTTTGAATGCTACTGACTCTATTACAATGTAGTATCTGTTCATATACTTTCTATTTTAAACTTTGTATTAATTGTGGATCCAATTGAAAACATGAAAAATATTTTTTGTAAAATTATTTTCAAAAAAAAAATTAATTTTTTAATGTTTATTAAAGATCAACAAATTAATTTTTTTTTTAGTTTATTTTCTTAAAAATAAACATATTATTTGTTATATAGTACTTAAAAATAAAGAATTCAGAACATATTATTATTGTTTGGAAACTAAAAAAGAGATGAGAGAAAAAATTAATACTTTAAAATAAAAAATTGGGAAAATGGCACTTTTTACCCCTGAGTTATATACTTATAGCACTTTTCCCCCCTCAATTATTTAGGTAAGCACATTAGTCCCTTCAATTATTCTAAAAGTGGTGTCTTTTCCCCCTAATATATTAAATTGACATTTATACCCTTAAAGTAAATATTTTATTTATTTTATTACTCCAACAAATTATTGTGTATACGTAGGGATGATCACGGTTCGGTTTGAATTGAACCGGATACTAAAGCAATCAAATTAATAGTTTACGGTTATAATTCAGATCTAGAACCCAATATTTAAATGTCAATTTATTAAAATTATGTATCAAAAAAATTGAATCTTGAACCGTGAACCGGTGGTTCCGGATCTGATTCGCGATTTTGAACCGTCTTTATTTTAAAATAGTCTAAATTCAACAATAAATGTATTTTATTTTTTCAGTTCGGAACATGAACCGTCCGTTCCGGTTCACGATTTTAATAAACTCTAAATATCGAATTTCGATTCTAAATTGTAATTGAAATATTTCGGTTTGGTTGCTATAGTGTTTGTTTAGTTTGAACCAAATTATGGTCATAATTTGTTGGAAAAAAAAATAAATTAAATATTTAGTTTAAGGGTAAATATGTCCATTTAACATTTCAGGGGGAAAAACAGCCACTTCAATAATTTAGGGGGAAAAATACTATAGGTATATAACTCAGAGGAAAAAGTGTCATTTTCTCTAAAAAATTCAGAAAAGGTATTCCAACTAAAATTTAGGAAGACATTCTGTCAAATTTGGCATGTTTTCCTTTTGACAAGAATGAATATTTTCTTTCGGCTTTATTTTCCTTAAATACTCAAATACAGAAATATTCTAAATATAATTTTTCAAGTTTCTAAATGGACCATTATTTTAAATTATTTAAACTCATTATTAACTTTAAAATTTTATATTAATATTTGTTTAAATTATTTATTAGTGACCTCGCCCATGTGGGAGAGAAAGTATATTTGAACAGATACTACAATGTAATAGAGTCAGTAGCATTCAAAAAAAAGAATTATTTATACTATTTTATTATCCAATTATTAATTTTAAAAATTAATTTTGAATTAAATATATTTTTAAAAAATTTAACAAACATAGGCAATTTATATCAAGCACCTTGTACTCAGATGACACCTCTATACCTACCCTTGAGAGAATGTCATAGGATTGAACTTCGGTGGTGGGATATTGACTCATTGGGTTGCATTGCTTAGAGAAAGTATAGAACACATTATGAACCCAACTAAATTGAAAAAATGAGGTACAAAATTTCATAACACATACATGTGTTATATATTTATTTATTTTTCAAATTTAATTTAGATATATGATTTGTTAACATAACATTATGGACCCAATTGAATTGAAAAAATGAGGTACAAAACTTCATAACACATACACATGTTATATATTTATTTATTTTTCAAACTTGATTTAGATACATAATTTGTGTTCATAGACACAAAATTTATATCATAAAACACAACTATTAATTTGTTCCAGGTACAAAATTCATACTCATAAGGTACAAAATTTCATAACACAAGACACAAAAAGTCATAACATAAAACACATGAACCAAGACCTATAGTGCACTATGAACCTAGTCCATGGTATAACGAAAAAAAAAAAAAAAAAAAAAACCCACAGGCCTTGATAGAGCCAAAACCGGCAAACATTTTTTAAGCCCGCTAATTTGGTAGGCTTTGGCAAGCTCCACCTAATCCACCCTGTCTACTAAGACAAACTTTAATAATGCCATAACAATCTCCCTAACTTGCAAGAAAAAAACACCAAACCTTGTTGCTACACGAAACAAACCCACCCCATTCTGAAAATAAAAATTAACCCCAAATCTTTAAGATATCTGGAAAAGTAAGACAACATTTTTATACGGTGAATCAAAACACACAAACTAATACATTAACTACTACAAATTGGAGGAGAATTCTCTCTACCAATGGTTTATATTCTGTACTTTAGATGGTACAGCTAAACAATTGACAAGTGAGCTAAAGAGAAAAGACCTTATGAGGTAAAAAGATCCAGGTCTACCTACATTAGCTACTACACTATTTCAAGTGTGTGGTTCAACTTCCCTTTCTCCAAACAATTCAGCAATAAGAATATCGGAACTCGAATTTCTATAAATAATCAATCACTGTAACGCGACATCTCACTTCAGAATGCGGATTACGGCCAAACCAACAGCGGATATAGAGACTATACTACCTATGCAATACTTTACAACATCGTATTTTGCTGCCTCCAGCTGTGCCCTCAATGAATGAATTTCCTGGATCATACATACAATTAGATACACGGTCCCAATTGGATCAAGAGTTCTTAGGGTGAATATATGTGGTGTGTGTACTCACTCGATCAAGTTTGTTATCGAGGTTGGAAATTTCCTGGCACTGGTTAGCTAACTCGTCCCGGATTCTCCTGAAATAGACAGAGCAATAGCAATTTGTATGCAGAAGAATATGATTACAAAAGACACAAGTGTGAGATTGACTATTTACCCCCTCTCGAGATTCTGATCCAGCCGATTGCCAGCAGTGACTTTGTCGATTTCATACCTGGATGAATATATATACATCTCAAAGTTGAAAACCAACCAAAAAGAAAAAAAAAAAAAAAACAAAACAAAACAAAACAAAAAAGAAACTCGTAACAGTTCCAGGGAGTCGGAGATTTTCAAACAAACCTCAATTCACTGCGCATCTTTTCAATATCAGTCCTGAGCTTTTCAGTCTCACGTTGCAACAAAGAGAAGTGGTTTTCCTACATTAAGAATAAAAAGTACAACCAGTGAACCAAGCATGAAAGTTCTTTCAAGTTTACCATATGCCTAGGGGAAGTTAAAAAGAAAAGAAAAAAGAAATTCATCTTGCATATTTCTAACTGAACTACAAAGAAACATTTTTTACAGCCAACTCAAGAAATTGTCCTCGCATCATCCTACAACATATTAAGCACATAACATAATCTTTGAATTAGCAGATTTGCAAGCAACAATAAAGCATATGGCATTTTTTTCATTAGTCACAGAGCATGCTCCTAACACACACTTAGGAAGAACTCAACAAAAGTTGCTTCTCCATCAAAGTGGAGAATGCTTCAGAGTTCAGAAGTCCACCTTGCACAATCCAAATGCATAAGGTGAATTAGCTGGTATATTTTCATCAAAAGTTCAGAAAATATAAAATTAGTAGAGGGGCTTAATCAAAGAAGAAATGTCCCCAAGACCAAGGAATGTTTGAATGTCAAACCAGGTACTCTGTTGGAAATTAAACATGACTTTTCATGTTGACGTTTTTTAACAGCCTTCAGAGGTTCATATCTCGGTGGTTATTTGATGAACTTAAAAACATCGCGTTTCCATGGAAACTAATGAAGTTCAGTTTCTAAAGAATCAAACAGCTGGAATTGAAGGCCATAATAGAGAGTTATTAGCAATTTAGTTAAATTTGTTAGTTTAGCCTCACACAACCATAATTCCATAAGATTGCCATCAACTAGGCAATCATTAACACAGTGTTGCTAAACCTTTTCATTACATTCATAAAGTATGCATTTCCTACGAACCTTACTAAACCATAAAAAGAAAGAAATAATCCAAAAGTTGTGGAACATAGAAATTTCCGAGTGCAAAAGTATCAATAAGAACAGAATTTGCAGTAACCAATTGCTAGGGCAAGATGCTCAAACCTTAGATTAATCAGTTGGAGTACATAGATTCTAAAACCATACCTGAGAGCTCTGAACTTCAGATTTGAATTTAGACAAATTTGTTTCATGAATCATCTCAATCTACACGAAGAGAGAACACACTGCAAGTATGAGAAGTTGTGCACCCCATTATTGTGATAAGTGAAAATTAAAAACTATTTTCCAACAACTCATAATCTCTGTGCTTCTATAGGCTTACTTTCTGGGATTCAGTTTTTGAAACATAGGAGTTAGCTACATGTTCCAAGCTATCGTTCAAAACATCCTTCAAAGCTGCCGTGAGGGCCTCGGCTACCTTGGATGGCACGCCTTGAGATTCCAATCTCCTCACCTTATGACACAAGTTTCGAATCTTTAGGCAAAAAACAAACAATAGAAATTCCCAAACTACTTGCAACCAAATACGTATAAACATTTTCAGAAGAATTAAACCCAAAACAAATATTTAAAAAAATGATGATTTACCAGAGCAAGAGTATCGACGATAAACAAGTGGTTGGAGGTGGAACCAGAGTGCTGAGAAATGTTCCGGATGCATTGGAATCGGGTTGGCCCGCCCAACCTGGTTCCCAAATGCACACCCATGCGCTTCGCCGCATATGCGGCCATCTGACGGCGATTCACCACGCTCAGCCGGAAATCAAAGAAAAACGAACCGCCAGCAGTTCAATTATCAATTATCTATGAAATGAAATGTTCACCGATTGTGTTGTCATGGCATATATAGTTAATAGTTGGTATCAATTAGCGGAGAACATGGTAAAACTTTTCTCGGAGATCGCGAAAATTTTGTTATTTTTTATTATTTAGATTAGATTAGATTTTTTTCTACCCATTCCATGAGCTTTCTTATTTTGACGGTGGCTGAGGCCTGACTTCTGAGAGGCGTGAATGGGAAACTGAAACCTGGGCGGGAGGGTGCAAAAAAAATTCGCCCACCGTGGGGCTCGAACCCACGACCACAAGGTTAAGAGCCTTGCGCTCTACCAACTGAGCTAGACGGGCTTGTTGAACTAAGTTCAAATAAAATTCAATAATAAAGGTCAGCCCCTCATCCGCAAATTATTCAAGGTAGAACCGTTCACAATTTACCATGTAATTGATTATAGTTTGTTTTGTATTCCCATGTTCCTTTTAAATACTGCAATCACACAATATTAACACAGATTCCATGTATTGTATTCACAAATTCCCTTCTACAATTGTTATGTATTTTTACTCAATAACACAATTTCTATTCTAGAAATTCATAATTTCAATACTAAAAACACAATTTATACGTCATTTTTGTTGCCAGGTGAACCATGGTCGATGGTATAACAACTCCCCCTCATCATTATTAAATTATCAATCTTCTAAGTTACATGGTGCAATTACAATTTCAAAAAACATCAATGAAAATCTCTCATTCTCAGAGTAATGAAATTCTATTGGAATTACATATCTTCTAAGTTTCAAAGCCATTGTAAAAGTTCTGAAGAGAAGAGATATGGTGTATTTACAACAGCAAGAATAACCCCTTTACAGTTTACACCCCCTTCCTCAGTTTTGAATTCTGTACCCTGTCTTGTAAGCTGAAAATCAACGGCAAAATATGACGCAAGTCCTATCTCGAAGCGCGACCAAAAACAGGATAATATGTGTCCAGCTGAAGCAGTTCTAGAATCTCTTGGCTAGTCCACAAATATGCAGAGTGGCCATCAATCAGTTCTGTTACATCAACCTGTTCATGTAGGAGTTAATTGAAGCGTGCTGCCTGGAATAGCAACTTTGTCGGGGAAAACTTGGAAGTTCATTGAAGACTTACATTCTCGACTCCAGGAACATCAACCGGTTGAATCCCAGCTAGCCCTTGACTCAGGAGACTGTAAAAACAACCAAAAACATTACTGACATGAAAAGGTGCACAATAGATTCATCTGGAGTGGGGACCATAAAGTTTGTCTCAACTCTCAAGTGAATCGAATCAATGTATGTTCTACGTGAGGTGGACATCTCAAATGTCCCAGTCTACCGTTTCCCCCCAAAAAGGGTAACATGTAAAGATGAGATATAGAATGCATAACCTAGCACGAAAGACAATTCCAAGCATCCAATCATTTGTAGAATAGACATTAATAAACCTCCCAGCCACCACCTGCAAAAGATCATGTTATCAAAATAAAGAACAAGTAAAGCATGGGAAGGGGACAAAATGTTTCCACTAGCTGCAGAGTAACAATTGGGAAAGTAAAACCTTTCTAACTGCTTCCCAGTTCACATCTCTAATCCTAATTGGCGCCCCAAGAAGAACAACTCTTTCTACAAGTCCGGCTGCCCAAAAAAAAAAAAAAAAACACATTTCAAACATATAAATAAGTATTAATTCATTCGTTATAATGACAACTACTCACCATTATTGCCACTGGCAGCCAAAATCTGAAGACATTTGAAGATTACTCTTGCCCCCAGCGAAAAACCAACTAGTGTCACAGGCCTGAAAATATCATAGGCAATCAAGAATGAATTTGATAATCTGCAAACTTAGAGTCAAACATAAAATGGCATTTTTGGTGATTCAATTTATGTTTTTTTTATAGTTCAAAGATATAAAAAGAATAATAAAAATAACTAGCACCTGTGCCCTTGCAATCCTTTCTGCAGAACCTCTGCCAGCAGTATTCCAGCCTTATCAGATCTACAAATATACAAGAGGCAACTGATAGCAATTTCTTCCAGAAAGGCAAGATGTAAAAAGAAAGAGAATGCTTTGCTTTTGTAGTGCAAAATAGGACTAGAACTTCTTACAAAATCCAGGAGTTGGAGTACAGTTGTGCCAAATAAAAAAGGCAACAAGCATATTATTAGATATTAAAAATTTAAATTTAAATTTTTTTTTTTTTTTAAAAAGGACCAAAAGGTTAGATCCTACACATAAGGCTAGTGTGTGAAGTAGATTCCAGGAGAGAGAAGCAAGCAAATTTATATCTATTAATGTAATGATTACATTGAAAGCTTGATTAATGATGTAAAAGTGACAAAGTGAAAAGTCAAAACATTGGCCTACTGCACCAAGTTCACTCTTCTGCAAAGAGAATGATTATTAGCCCAAAAAAAACACATAGATAAGTGAACTACCTGTCTACAGCAATTGTCCATTCACTGTCAATAAAATGAGTAAGAGCAAGTAATGTTGCTGGCCAAGCCAAGGCTGTTAAGAAAGAGCTCAATACTGTCATCATGGCACCTCGCTTCATTAATTCAAGAGCAATACCTGCAAGGATGATCTCATCAGCAATATACTATTATAGCCATCATTATAAATAGATGGTTTGTTGAATAGCTACAAGTATAAGATCATTTACTTGAAGTAAGCCAATTCCTAATTGCATAGCTTACAGCCATTAGATGCTTAGACTCCCACTGCAGTGCATATCTGAGTAAACATAAGGGCCAGGAAAAATTTTGCATAAGTAATAGTTCCACATTTTATGCACTTATAAGCCTTGTATAAGAACTATTTGCAAAAGAAGCAATTACACATGAAGTTTCCAATTAAGAACTATCAAGGACTTGTAGTGACATGAATCTGTGTTCTGAGCAAAGTAGAGGGGAATGCCTTTTACAATCCAACATTCATCACAAATCGAAATGAAATAGCAGATATACAGTTGCCAGCATCTAATGAATGCACAAATATGGATACAAAGAAAGGACTCTCCACCTTTCCAAGTTATTGTATTCGCCTTCCCAAGGTCTAAAAAAATCACTCTCCTCGAAAACAAATCCAGTGATTAATATCTCAACTGCTAGCCGCTGAATGAGAAAAAGTCATGTCAAAAGAACTCACCAGAGATATAATCTAAGAGACAAATATAAAATTATATCGAGAAAAACAAACGAGTATTAATGTCAGACAGTAAACAGAGTTACATCCTGCAAAGCCAAAGCCTACCTAGTTAGGTGTAAACAGAGAGAAAGAGTTTTAAAAAAACAATAATCAAAAAAGAAAGACAAGGACTCACGCCTTTGTTATGGTTTTGCCCTATTGTTTTAAACTCAAATTCATCAACATCTCCCATTCTCCGAGCCACTTTAGACCCTGTAAGTCCCGCTCCGGCAGCTGATCCATGGAAGAATCAATAAGAATCATGAGGGATCAAAGCATGCAGTAATTATATATTGATTTTATATGTTAAAACTCCAAAAAATAAAATTAATGACCACTTCAAAAACACAAAAGAAGGTGCATATACGCTCTTCCATTTACATTTCTCAAAGTCTAAAACATATTAGCATGAAGAAGGTATTTACACAGATTTCTGGAAGAATATATCCTAAAATGAATCTATCCTATAGAATATTTGTTTACCTCCAAATGATGCAGCAACTGCGACAGAGCCAACAACACTTCCTGCAGCAGTGGCAACCGCAGCGAACCCACTTGCTCCAATCACAGGAACAAGAGTTCCCAATGTTGGAGCTAAAGCACCAAACCCTGCAGCAATGGCTGGAGCAGCTAAACCTGTAGATGAAGGTCATGGAAGCTGTAAAACAATTATCCTAAGAGACTTTTTACAGCCCAGGGTCGAAACTACAATAGCAAGGAAAAGCAAGGATGACATACCACCAGTAATCGCCATTAATGTTCCTCCTGTCAATGCTGCTGCACCTATGATACCTCCACGTCTCCACTTAGCCCATCTGCTTTTAGAAGATTCGGCTTCTTCCTTGGATTCTTGGGCTTTCAATAAAGCCATTGCTGAACAAGCAACCATGGTCTCAATAGCTTCCTGAAATAGAAACATGCTTTCAAGAAAATACAATAAATTTGGTTTCAAACAAAATAAAGAGTAGTTTCCAAGATGCCCAAAGATCTTTGTAAAGAATGTCTATATTTTATGAAGCGATGCACATCATATATTTCATACAGAATAGAATATCTGGTAAACAAAGTTTCTTTAGATCTTGGGGTGCTAAATCTAGCATCTAGGCATAGTTATAGAAGGCTCTACTCATAGAAAATAATGACATGGGAGAAGAAGCGAATTAACTATTTACACTCATCTGAAAGGCACATATAAACTAGACTAGATGATCAATCATACCACTTTAACCCATTTGACATCAAACCAGGTTGCAAGTAACCGCAAAGACACACGATATCGAGCATCATAGCCCCTTCTTCGTTGAGTAGAAGCATTTTTATTATCCTCTGGTGTAGCTGCCAGACATGCTGAAAGAAGTTCGTACAGGACTGTCAATTTCCTATTATATGAAAGGACCTTTAAGTCTTGTGCTGGCTTTTCATCAAACCCACTAATAGGCTCCATATGTGCATGTCCACTGCTAGATGGTTTGACAAGGGTCTCAGTCTCCGGTTGATTTTCAACATGAGTAGCTTCCCCTTCAGGATTTGACTCTGAGTCAGCAGTTGAGAATTTCTCTCTGCATTCATTCTCATATTCACGCAGCTTCTCCTTCTCAGATTCAAGATCAACAGTTTTCTCTATGCTTGATGCCATAGAATCTATACTGTTTGCCAAAGTAATTTCCCTTTCCAGTACTTCAGAAGAAGCATCCCCACTTCCCTCAGAGAGTAACCTGAGAAACTGAAGTGTAGTAACAATGATATCAGGTAAGTAGAGCTCGAAATGCTAAAAAAATTTAATGGATTAATCTAATCCTTCAGAATTAGGGATGTCAAAACTTTTTAATTTCAATCGTGAAAGTTCAAGTTCAAGCAGCATGGACATTCACTCCAATTTCCAAATGATATCGTTTTATATTCTATTTTGAAGAGATGAGAGTACAAACCGCTCCCACATGACGATTGGCCGGTCCATTACCGGCAGTTTCCTCAAGTCCAGTCCATGCTATAGGATCGATCTCTAGAAACCTATTATCCAGAAATTCGATACAAAAGTGAAATTAAGCAAGCAAAACAAGATGATCACAGACGGAAAACCCAAATATAGAAAGAAAACCAGTTTCATTTCAATTTCTCAGTCCAAACTCAGAGAATTGCGCAGTGAGGATCATATAAATATAAATAGACGTACACATATATATCTAAATATTAACAAACCCGTAACTTGAAGACAGGACGGAGGAGAGAGGATGACTGGTGCACCCAAAGCTGTGGGTCTTCGGAGACGGAATCGCTGCTGCTGCTGCTACCACTGCTGATGCGATCCTGGGTTAGGTCTTCGTTGCCATCGGAGGGAACCCCCAAAGGACGGGTCTGGTGGATCTGGGCCTGGTAAAGGGCCAACCCGAGAAGGGCGGCGGCGGCGTACCTCTGAGTCGGCGCGAGTATCGATGAAGGCGACGACGACATTGAATTTCATTCAACGGAAAGCAATCGCTAAAATCAGAGTGTCCAATTCCGAATCAATCAAACGAATTTCTGTTGTTTTCTTTGTAGCTACACTGCTCTCAGCTCATTCAAAACTCTCGTTAAATCTTCTTCTTATTTTGAATATATATATTATTTGGCATATTTATAGTCTTGCAATATTTGGAATTTCTTGTGGAAACTGGAAAAGCATTGTCGTCATCGCCCACTGTCGCACTGCAATGCAAGCATTTACAATTGGACATTGTTTTAACTTCAAAATGTTAAATTCTCCACATTTTTTTTAATGAGTTAATACCCAAAATCGTCCTCGACTATAGTGATTTTTCTCAATTTCGTCCTAAACGACTTTGGTGACCTAATATCGTCTCACACTTTTGTGTTTCGCTCAATTTAGTCCCAGACTTTTGTGTTTTTGCTCAATTTAGTCCATCATTTGTTATTCTGTCCATTTGGTGTTAAATAAATAGACAATTCAGTAATTTTAATATTGACATCTCTTTACTCATAGACATGTGAACTGCGAAATCCTTTTTTTTTTTACGAATTACTCCCAGAATTACTCCTAAAACTGCTAATATAAAATTTGATTCGCAGGTCCAGGAGTAATTCTGGGTGTAATTCGTACAAGAAAGAGAAATTTCGCACTTCACAAGTTGAAAGTAAATAAAGATCAATATTGACATTACTGAATTGTCCCTTTATTTAACACCAATTTGACGGAATAACAAATGAAGGATTAAATTGAGCGAAACACAAAAGTCTGGGACGATATTAGGTCACCAAAGTCGTTTAGGACGAAATTGAGAAAAACCACTTTAGTCGAGGACGATTTTGGGTATTAACTCTTTTTTTAATTAACATGGATAAGAGACAAATAAAAATTAGGGAAAATGACACTTTTTCCCTTTGAGTTATATACTTATAGCACTTTTCCCCCTCAATTATTTAAGTAAGCACATTAGCCCCTAATATATTAAATTGACATTTATACCCTTAAAATAAACATTTTATTTATTGTACTTCTCCAACAAATTATTGCGTATACGTAGGGATGACCACGATTCGGTTCGAACTGAATCGGACACTATAGCAATCGAATTAAAAGTTTCCGGTTATGATTCAGATCTAGAACCCAATATTTGGATTTCAATTTATTAAAATTATGAATCAAAAAAATTGGATCCTGAACCGTGAACCGGCGGTTCCGGACCCGATTTGCGATTTTGAACCGTTTTTATTTTAAAATTTTATTTTTATTTTAAAAATATTCTAAATTCAACAATAAATGTATTTTATTTTTTCAGTTCGGAACATGAACCGTCCGTTCCGAGATTTTAATAAACTCTAAATATCGAGTTTCGATTCTAAATTGTAATTGGAATATTTCGATTTGGTTGCTATAGTGTTTATTTGGTTTGAACCAAATTGTGGTCATAATTTGTTGGAGAAGAAAAATAAATAAAATATTTATTTTAAGGGTAAATATGTCCATTTAACATTTTAGGGGGAAAAACAGCCATTTGAATAATTGAGGGGGGAAAAGTGCTATAAGTATATAACTCAGGGGGAAAAAGTGCCATTTTCCCTAAAAATTATTTATGAAAGTGCAATTAAGCAAGTAAATAAATCAATCAAATTAGACACTTGAATTTAGGAAAAAAAAATGTATTTAACATCATTTAACATATAATTGTAAATAACTTCTAAGGGTTCGTTTGGAAAGCAGGAAAATGACTTCTGAAAAATGAGTCATTTTACAGAAAATATTTTCTTTTCCGGTGTTTGGCTGCACAATGAAAAATTGTTTTTGTATGTTTGGTTCATTTTTCAGAAAATGAATGGAAAAATGACTAGAATTGTATACTTCAATTATTTTTATTTCTTCCATTATTTTTACTTTTTATATTATTTCATAAGTTCATTTTATTTTTTGTTGTGTTCTTTTTTCCCAAAATTTTATGCTCTAATGTGTTCTTCTTCCCCAAAATTTTCTACTCTATGTGTTCTTTTTCTCCAAAATTTTCTACTCTACTGTGTTCTTCTTCTCCAAAATTTTACAAATAAGCACATGAACCCAAAACAACCACCTCCATTTCTATGCAAATCAGAAGAATTGATTTCACAAATCAAAAATAAAAATAAAAATACTGAGCGATACAAAAAAAATAAAAAAAAAAAAAATACAAACATCTTCCCAGTTGCGACTTGCGAGTGGTTTCCACAGGAAACATCTCTGAACTCTCTGGTTTCGGATCGCGAAAACCAGATTTACCAGCGATCTGGTTTCCTCATCGGAAACCAGATCTCTGGTAAATCTGGTTTCCGCATCGGAAACCAGAGCCTTTGGTTTCAATGCGAAAATCAGCGATGATGAGGTCTCCGGTGAAGCTTTTCAGGTGATGAATTTTTTGGTGGAGCATGTTCTCATGTTGATGGAGGTTGGAGCTTGCAGATGGAGGCGTGGAGATTGCATGCCTTGGAGCGTATGATGAAGATGGAAAATGACTTCCCCCCAAAAAAAGGGGAAGTCATTTTCCGGAAAAGTTGAGGAATTTTCCATTGACTTTGAGTTGTTTTCCTTTGACTTCCATTTTTCGGGTTTCCAAACACACCCTAAATTAAAAATAATTAGACTGCTACATAGAGATGGTAATGTGCCTCGTTCCCGACGGGAATCTCTGATCCCCGCCTCAAAAGAGACGGGGATGAGGAAGATTTTTGGAAAACGGGGACGAGAACATTTGTGATTCCCCTCGGGAACGGGAATGGGGACGGGGACACCCCGCCCCGCCCCGTCCCCGAATAAATTAATAAATAAATATAATAGTAGCAGTACTGCACTTATATATATAACAGTATATATAAAAATATAAAAATATAATAGTGACAATATATATATATATATATATATATATATATATATATATATATATATATATTGATAGTGTTAATTCCCACGTAAGCGATCAAAGTAATAACACGACCAAATAAAGCAAATAAATCTTTTATTGATCGGGTGAAAAGGACCTAATACAATCTAAATGGCTATTCTGAGGGCCGACTGACTGCGGTCGGGATGCTCTAACAATAGCCTATCGATCGTTCAAAAGTCCCCCCCCCCCCATTGTTGCCGCCACGGGTATTTATAGTCGATAGGCCGGAGACACCATTCCGGTCGGCCGGCATGTAACCCATGTAGCAATGACGTGTCTTCTCCCCGCAAGCTCTGCATGTCAACGCCTAACGCTGCCACGTGCCTCTTCTCGACTCTCTCGCCTAAGGGCTACCAATCGGGTACTGAAGACGCCGGTCGGGTGCTCCACCGGTCGGGTATGACCGGGTTCTTCTAAGAATATCCGACCTGTAACCTGCATAAACAAGAATAAAACACGTGGCATGTCGGTCGGGGTATTCCCTACCAAGAGCCCCCAGCCCGGGCCTTTTCGACCGCCCGGGAAAAAACGGGACGGGATGAAGAAGTCCAATCGCCCGCCGCCAAACCGCCCGGCCAGCTGTCATTCCTCCGTGCCACGTGTTGACCTCTGCACACCTCTGCGACCGCAACGGTCGCCTCGGAGTCTGGAGTGGTTGCGTCAAGCAAGTGGGCCGTTTCCCGCCCAAATGCTCTCCTATAAACAGGCCTTCATGGAGTTCATTTGAACTTTTACCAACCATCCTGAGTCGATCGGAGCATCCAGAGCGTCCCGAGCGAGCTATTCAGAACATCGGTCGGAGCAATCAGCATTCAGCTTTTCCCCCAAGTGCTATCACTCGGTAAGTTCTCTGCTCCTTAACTCTTTAGTTTCCTGCCTTACATTTTCTTTTCATAGCCAACTATAGGTCTCAGCTGACCATGACCCCAGTATCCCGAGCCCTAACACAATCCCGACCGGCCTTTAGGTGGATAAAAAATGTCGAATACGGACAGTCAGAACGCCTCAGTCGGGGATTACGACGACGCAGTCGAGCAGATAAGCGAAGAAGTGGACATTATGTCCTATTCACCAGAGGTCATTCAACGACCACAGAAGACCCCCGTGCGACGAAGGTCGTCTAGCTCGGAGGGAACGTCAAGCTCAAGTGGGTCGGGCAGCTCGAACGGATCGAGCAGCAGAAGCGGCGAAACATCGACGAGCGGACAGCGTTCGACCGAAGCTGCTCGGGAAACACCAACCCGGGTAATTGGGGATTACCCGCAGGCAGCACCCCCAGCTGGCGATCGGGAGGCCACCTCTGAACAGGTCGAGGAAGACCCGGCTGCCCCGCCCGCCCCGGCCAACGGGGAGTTCGTGTTCTTGAACCGGGACAGTGTCGAACAACAAGAGAGCCTACTGACGAAAGGAGAAGCAGCGAAGATATCTGCGATACTCACCGGTCGTGTCCGTTTCGATACCCGCCGGAGTTTGGGAAATGTCATCGACCGTCACGAAGGTAAGTGGATCGGGATGCACTTCGACTCCCTCCTAGCACCACTGATGAGAGTCGTCCATAGAACCATCAACACCAGAAACGACAACATTCGCCTGAGGATCTGGATCAGGACTGAAACGACGCCAACACGATGTAGCTATATGCCCTTGCTTGTTGCAAATATGACACCGAGGGCCTGAGTTGGACCGCGGCCGCCACCACCTCGGTTTTGCAGACTGCACCGCGGCCGTCATGACCCCCACGGCTTACGGCCAAGGCCGCCGGTGCGCCGAGAGCCGTGCCGTCATCCGAATATATCCACTCCTGCGAAACAAGAAAATTCGCAACCTCCGGGAAGGGAACGGGAGCACCACGGGTTAGGGTTGCCACCAATGGTCGAAACTCCGGGCGCAAACCACGAAACATGTACAGATTCTGATCATCCAACTCAACGTGACTACAGGCGAGAGCCAGTTCATCAATCAACATCTGAGCGCGACCAAGGTAATCAAATATGGAGGAGTCACCTTGGCGGAGCCCTTGTAGTCCGCCGAGCAGCCGGAGAGCGCGAGAGCGAGTGGACGATCCTAGGGTTTGTTCGATCACCTGCCAAAGCTGCCGAGAAGTACCCTTGTCGACGGCGAAACGAAGGGTCTCCTCGGACAAGGAAGATATGAGCATGGAGAGAATGGCTTTGTCTTGACGACGCCATGCGAGCTGCCGCGTCGGGAGATCGGAAGCCATCGTGGGAGCGCTGTCCGCGGTCGACGCCAGCGCCGGTGACTCCGCCGGAAAGGGCATAGAACCATCAACAAACCCTAGAAGCCCTTGGCCTTCAAGAAACGGAAGCATCTGAGTCCGCCAAAACAGATAGTTCCGGGAGTTCAACTTTAAGGAAACGAAGTGGTGAGCCGATGAAAGGCTACCACTCGCAGGCACCAAATGAATCTCGGTAACGGTCCGTTCAGAGGAACCAAGAACAGAGCCGTCATTAACACCGACGTTTTCCATGGAGAAAACCTAGCTGATACCAGATGAGAATATATTTTCTGTATATTGATCAAGAGCAGCGGATACAAAGTATATAAAGACATGAAATAGAGATCTAGTCTAATACTACTAATATAATAGAGATCTAGTCTAATACTATTAATATAATAGAGATCTAGTCTAATACTACTAGTAGAGTCCTAATAGCTAGAGCTACTGGCCTAGTCTACAGGAGTCTATTTAGAACAATTAAGTAAATACAAAATATCAACCACTCATATGCTTAACATTTGTCACAGAGTAAATCTATAAAAGATTAGAGCAGAACACTTACATAAGAGCAGCTTCTCATCATCATCTTCCTTACGGACCAAAGAAGAAATAGATTTTAACCTGAATAGCTTGTTAGGAAAACTAACTTTCCTGTACTCTTTGACCATTGTATCATGCTTAAATTTAAGCATGTATGGTGCTCAGATGTTTTGAACTTCTGGTAGTTAGTCAGGCAATGGAAGTTTTTAACCCATACACAACCTTCTTTGAACTTTGTCCATTTCTGCACTTGATCCTTAGGTATAAACACATCCTTCTTTGAATTTTGTCCATTTCTGCACTTGATTCTTAGGTATAGTACAGTGAACAAAAACACACTACATGAACACATTAAAAGCTGTTAAAATGTAGATGAAAAACAAAGGAAAATGTAGATTAATATTATACTATTATAGTGGAAAATATCAAAACATTCATGCACTTGATCCTTAGGTATAGTGCAGTGAACAAAAACACACTGCATGAACACATCAAAAGCTATTCAAATGCAGAGAAGAAACAAAATAAAAATCAGATTACTATTACACTATTATAGTGGAAAATATCAAACCTCTTGATCGTGAAAACCACATTCTATACTGCTAACCACTTTGTTTTCCCTATTTTCGTAAACAGCATAAGTGACGCATGATGTTTAAAAACCAATCCGATAGAAAGAAAAAAATTAGGAGATTGGTTTAGGAGATAAACACTCATGGTTGGATTTTATGTATCACACGTTTTCTCCTTCAGATGAATCGGGAAGCGAAGTCACACACAAAAACCAAATAAATCAATTGATCTCCTATATAATAGGACCCAAAACCAAAAAAAAAAAAAAAATCACTCATGCGCCTATTTAATAGACTTTGAGTGCATGCACCGCTTTAGCTAAAACAAAAACAAAAAATAGAAAAGAAATTACTTAGTTGTTGAGCGGAAAATGGCTTTGGCAAAATCTCATGGCTATATTGGTATGGATGTCAATTTAGTCCGAACCCGATGGGCCAACCCGATAAAATCGAAATCGACAGGGCTATGGCCCGAACGGGCTAACCCGATAAAACACATTAACCCGACGAGTCCAAAACCGATTAGCCCGGTGGCCCGATAGGGCTAACCCGACAACCCGAACTATTGAAAACTATTTTTTATTATATAAGTGATGTGAAACCTAACATACATGAAATAATTATTATAATTAAAAATAAATAAATAAGTAAATAAATAAATAAATAAATATATATATATATATATATATATATATATATATATATAATTTAAATTAAAATAAGTTTTTAGTTTTTTAAAATTTAAAATAACATTAATCTAATATTTTGACTAAAATTTGATGAGGACTATATTCTTCGTCCTTGCCAAATTCTCCGCGGGAACATAGATAGGGACTATTTTCAATTTTTCATTGAGGACAGAGACGGGGAGTATACTTCCCGCACCCGCACCCACTCCACCCCGCCCCGCCCCATTGTCATCTCTACTCTAAATATGGGTACTCACTTTCAATTTTTTATTTTAGTTCAAATGGTTCAACCCGCCCGATTAGCCCGACAACCCGAAGTTTAGGGTTAGGGCCAAACCGAACCCGAGAATAAAATATTAGTAAACCGATTAGCCCGACAACCCGATAGGACTAGCCCAAAACCGAGTGGGCTGGCCAGATTGACATCTCTATATATTGGTATAAGGATAATGGTGTTGTATTAGACCTTGCTTGTGAACCCCAAATTAAACCTATTTTTTTAACCCCAAAGTTCTCACATGGATATATAATTCAATCATGCATTCTAATAAATTTTACTACTACTCCAAGGAAAACACATTGTCCATAGTCTTGTACACCGTAACACTTATAGTGGAAAGAATTGGAAATTCTACTCTACCTACATCAAATTTAGTCTATTAAAGCTAAGAGGGTCAATTGTAGCCAGTCAATTATAGGAATATATAACACTGTCAATATAGATACAATATAAGCCCTAATATGAGAATAGTTAGGATAGCCATAGCCATCATGGGCGTAAACGGGGTGGAAAAAGTTGTGGTTGATCTCTCTCCATGATTTATCGACTCTCAGAGTAAAAACTCAATGACCGCCTATAGTGGGAGCTAACATAAAAATCTTTGTATCTTTTAGATTCTGAATCGAACCCCAATAGTGCTGCATAGGTAATTCTAGAGTGGATTGTTGGAACGGAAATACGTTGTCCCGTACTAACGTTGGAAACAATGACGATTTCAGTGAATCTAAACAGACAAATAATAACGATTTCAGAAAGGTTATAGTTATCGGCCAACAATTAACCTGACAAATTTGACTAGGTTACAACTTTGTCAAGCAGGGCACAAGCCCCATAGAAGTAATTGCAGGATATTTAGCCTTTATATATAGGTAAGATAAGATACATGAAAGGAAATATAGAACACTTTTTATTGTTTGAATTAAAGGAGTAGTTGCCCAATTTGCCTTCATCATCTTAAAAGTACCTTACCAAATTGAATCAACATAACAAGAACACATACATACATAGAAAGTTTCATTAATGGCCAAGAAACTAACATCACAACACTGTTTACATAACAGGTAGCTAGATTTGGAGAAAAGAGAGACTAATTAAACGCTAAAAACTTTATATATAGGGACCATGCAACCCCAATAGAATCTGCAACCAGAAGAGGATGAACGCCATGCAGATCTTACAGGCCAAAGACGGAAATAAAAGAACCTTTTACAAATTAATGACAAAAATGAGAAATTTTTAAAAACTGGACAAAAAGCTCACTAGGTGGTATTGTTCACCCTTGAGCAACTCTCCATGCTGCCCAACTATTTTTTTTATAGTGATCCAAAAAATCAATTCTTTTAGAATTTGTATTTTATATTTCTTCTGTCAAATAACCCTCACTTTCTTTCAATACAAAAATACCAAAAAAAAAAAAAAAAAAAAAAAAAAAAAAACACCAATAAAATTTGATGGAGATACTGAAAATGATCCAAGAATACGGGTCTAAGTTGGTTGGGCATGTTAGACCTGACAATTTGTGTATACGGGTTCATTTACGGGTCCATACAATAACGACACAAACACGATAAAACTAATCACCGACACGACATGTTAAGGTTAATGAGTTAAATTCTCAACATGAAGATTGAACATGATTTGTAAACGGGTTGACACGATATACATGTTTTGTTAATAGGTTTCGAGTCGTGTCAACACGATATAATACGAAATCCGTTAAACCTATTACGGAGTAATATATTTTAAAAAAAATTAAAGTAAAGTTACACACACACACACATATATATGGGCACGCTCAAGTAAGAACGGTTGCCGAGGAGAAAAATCAGAACCACTCACAGCCGTCCACGTGTCCAGATCAACAAATCAGAAACGCTAGATGTGGACACGCACCTTAAATTTGACCTAGCTAGATGCAAAAAGACCAATTTGCCACCGCGCATTTTTTTTAATCACTATTAATCTTGGACGTTGATTTAGACAAAATCGGTGGCTCAGATTTAATCGCACAACCGCACCTCGGGTAGCCAACCACACGGAAACCAATTTCAACCAATGAAACAAACTAAAAAAAATATTGGAATAAGGATCAAATAGGCCATCGAACTATCCACGAAAATGAAATTAGGCCATTGAACTATCGTGTTTGTCAATTGCACACAGTTCTTCTTGGACTCTAGTTTATGATTCCAAAGATTTTATCTTTGCATATAGTAAACTAAATGGCCTATCTGCTTGAGCTATCTCCTCTCCCATGGAGTTGAGCTCCAATGTTGTAGGATTACATTTTCTGTTTGTGGGGACAGTTATACTTATAAAATGCAGTATATTTGGTCATGGGTTTTATTTTGTGATTGAATCACTATCTTACTGTTAGTTTAGTGTTTGCTAATTGCACATATATCTTCTTTGGACTCTAATTAAACTAAATGGCCTATCTGCTTCAGCTATCTCCTCTTATTGAATCCATGGAGTTGAGCTTCAATGTTATAGGATTACATTTATCATTTACTTTTGTAATTTCCAACCAAGTTCTCAAGGGCTGGATATTTCATCTTGTATGTCATATTCTGTACCGGTTTGAGCTGGAGTTTTGACTTGATACACTTTTGTGGATATGGTACACATTGGATGGGTAACATAAATAGGGACCTCAAGACTCCTCTCTACATTTTGATCAGTTGTAAATGTAAATAAAATAAAAAATAAAAAAATAAAACAAAACAAAAACAAAAACAAAAAAAGGTCAAATAGGCCAATGAAGTATTAGTGTTTGAACCATTTAACTCTACTAATTTGTGTTGGTTTTTATGGAGAGCCTTTGAATGATATATTGTCCACTACAAAGAACCTGATTATAAAGAGAGTGAGATTGATCCAACATGTGCTATGTGTGGGATCATGTATGAGGATACTATGCACTCTTTGGTCAGATGTGATTATACAATGAACATTTGGGCACAATCTCACCTTCCAATCCCCAACAGTGTTTGAACATTTGGCTGATTTGTATGTCATCCCTATTGTTTGAACATAGTTCCCCACTATTCGCCTGTAACCACTTTTGACCGAGTATTCACCTGTTATGTCTCTATACCAATACCACACATCCTCATAATCCGGTGACACAGGTATCTGGAATAAAAATATCAGTTAAAATGGTAATCCGGTGACACAGGTATCTGGAATAAAAATATCAGTTAAAATGTCATGATCCCATTTCCTGATCCATTAAGCCCATAACTGTTGCCTGCGCCAACTGTGGTGGTTTTTGGGTTGCCCTTCCATTCCCAATCCTGCGCCTAACTCCTCCACAAATTAGTTATGTTTGCCAATTTTGTTTGAATGCTACTGGTTCCCAATCCTGCGCCTAACTCCTCCACAAATTAGTTATGTTTGTTAATTTTGTTTGAATGCTACTGGCTGTTTTTGGGTTAATGTTGTTCTCCTCCACAAATTAGTTATGTTTGTTAATTTTGTTTGAATGCTACTGGCTGTTTTTGGGTTAATTTTGTTTGAATGCTAGTGGCTGTTTTTGGGTTGCCCTTCCATTCCCAATCCCTGGTTGTTTTTGGGTTGCCCTTCCATTCCCAATCCTTGTTAATTTTGTTTGAATGTTACTGGCTCTATTACAATGTAGTATCTGTTCATATGCTTTCTCACAATGTAGTATTTGTTCATATACTTTCTCAACCTATTGAAACACAAAGAATCAATAACGTCTCCACTCAAACTCACAACCTTCTAAATGGAAGTCCAACCCGGGTACCATTAAACCACATGGTGAATAGATTGATTTATACTAAAAAAGAGCCATCTACCCACGCTTTACGATTTTCTTTCCTTAATTCCTCCCGCTCTGGCCAGTCATTTTCATCTTGATCGGTTTTGAAATGGTTCTCTTCTGATATCCAAATCTAATATCCCCACTATTATAAAATTAATAATCATCATAATCTAATACCTCCACGGGCTTCACTACTATAACACTTATCCACATTCGATTCAAGTTACACCCATCATAATCCAAATTCAACTTCAACGTAAATTACACATGTAAAGTTTGACACTGACTCTTACTCGAACAAAACTTAAATATTTTTTGAATTTTCGAGTATTGATAGGTATCAAAGTAAAAGAAAAAAAAAAAAAAAAAAAAAAGAATAAGGTTCAAATTGGCCACTGAACGTAACCTGAAAATGCAATTAGGCCACTGAACGAAAAAAAAATGCAATTAGGCCACTGAACACTCCAAAAATGTGCAATTTCACCTGATAGCAGGTTACCCTCAATTTTAGCAGGTTATCTGCTTACGTGGCAGCTGAGTTGGCATTTTTAATAAATTTTAATTAATTTTTAATAAATTTTAATAATAACTTTTTATTAAAAAAATTTTTAAAAAAAATAAAAACGACTTTATTTTATTTTTATTTAATTTTTTCCAATTTTTTTATAAAATTTATTATTAAAATTAATTATTAAAAATTATTAAAAATGTCAACTAAGCTGCCACGTAAGTAGGTAACCTGCTAAAATTGATGATAACCTGCTATCCGGTAAAATTGCCTACGTTTGGAGAGTTCAGTGGCCTAATTGCACATTTTTTGAGTGTTCAATGGTCTAATTACACTTTTTTTTTCGTTCAGTGGCCTAATTGCATTTTCAGGTTACGTTCAGTTGCCAATTTGAACCTTATTCCAAAAAAAAATGAAATAATAACAAACATAGATACTACTGCAAAATGTAAAAAATAAAAAATCTAAATACATATATCTTTACGACACAAGAGGGAAAATTGACTATTATAGGACAAATAGCTTTGGAGTGACAAAAATAGGAATAAAGTTCAAATTGGCCACTGAATGTAATCTGAAAATGCAATTAGGCCACTGAATGAAAAAAAAAATGCAATTAGGCCACTAAACACATCAAAAATGTGCAATTAGGCCACTAAACACTTCAAATGTATGCAATTTTACCGGATAGCAGGTTACCTGCTTACATGGCAGCTGAGTTGGCATTTTTAATAATTTTTAAATAATTTTTAATAAATTTTAAAGTAAATTTAATAATAAATTTTAATTTTTTAAATAAATTTTAATAATAAATTTTAAATTTTACTTGCTTACCATCGTTTTTTAAAAATTTTTTTAAAAAATATATTATTAAAATTTATTAAAAATTTTTAAAAGTGCCAACTCAACTGCCACGTAAGCAAGCAACCTGCTATTAGGTGAAATTGCACGTAATTGCACTTTTTTTTGTTTAGTGACCTAATTGCATTTTCAGGTTACGTTCAGTAGCTAATTTGAACCTTATTCCGACAAAAATATAACGTTCTGAATTCGTAGACAAGAATGAGAAAATCGAGTTTGAAAAATGCAATTTTACTTTTTCACGATCAAACAGACACGCAAGTGGGACTTGCGTATTATTTTTTTAAAAGAATTTGATCTCCAACAACCAAACTGGTCAACGGCTTCTCCGACGAAGGAGAAGGTGACCAAACTTGGTCACCTTCTCCCTCACTGGAGAAGCAAGGACCAAACTGGTCGCTGGGGGGAAGCCAGCGACCAAACTGGTCACTGCTCGCTGGAGAAGCGGGCGACCAAACTGATTGCTTTCTCCTTCATCAGAGAAGCCAATGACCAATTTGGTCGCCGGAGACCAAATTTGAAAAAAAAAAAAAGAAAAACAAACAAACAAACAAACGCAAGTGAGACTTGTGTGTCTATTTGACCGTGAAAAAGCAAAACCGCATTTCCCAAACTCAATTTTTCCATTCTTGTCTAAGAATTCAAAACGTCATATTTTTGTCCACTCCAAAGCAGAGAGCCATAGCAGAAAACACTATTTATGATAGTATGTCATTATTTGGAAGGAAAAAAATTTACTTTATGCCATTTAGCTAATAATTTCCAGGGGAGTTAAAAACATTAGCTACATTTAGAGCAGCTTACTCTAAACAATTGATTGCACATCAAAAATAAACAATAAAAAGGTAATTGCAGTTGAAGCGGCATACTGATGGATAGTAATCACGGGTGTAGATAGTCGCATGATGCACCCTTTTTGCAACGCCCACTCTCGTAAAATTTACATACCCGTGCTTTGGGAGGAGGTCTTGAATGCCCTCCGCCACCGCCACCACTGCCGCTATATGATTGCCTATTCCACGCTGGTCTACTCCTACTACCATGACCTGAGTGCCCTCCTTGAAATGCCCAGTCTCTTGGACCAGGAAACCTCTCTGCAGAGTGCCTCCTTTGGCTATCCCATGCTGGATTCCCATTGTAAGCACTGCGATTAGTGTTTGGATTTCTCCATGCTGGCTTGGGACTGGTACCTGGACCTGGATTTGCATATCCCTGAACTGATTGGGGTGCTCCATAGTTTGCATTTCCTTGGGTAGTCCCCCAGCCGGTAACCATAGCTTCTGATCCTCTGCTTTGATCCATGGCTGAGACTACCGTATTTTGACTCACAGTGCAAGGCACAGGAAGACGAACTTCTGAACCAGAGTGCCCCTTACTAAAGGACACATCAGTTGATTTTGTTTCTCCCTCACTACTGGTAGATGAATGCCCATTGCACCTCTTTGGAGGATCAAAAGCATCTGTCTGACCTCGCCTAACTAGTTCATTTGTCACAGGTGATTGACAAGGTAATTGTATATCCCCTGTGGAGCTATAAGCATCACTTTTGGCAGGACCGAGTGCAGGGCTCATCTCCTCGATGGAGCTGAAGTCACTCTTACTCCATTGCATCAGGTCTACACTGCACCTCATGGCTGAAGTAGGTGAACCTAGACCACTTTGAGCTTGTGATTCCATTGCATCAACTTCAGCTAATAGATCAGATACTGACTCCTCAGCCAAAGTGCTGAACTCAATCACATTTGAGGGTGGAGATGAATGAGTCAGTTGGTCCGCATTTGAAGCAGGAGTTGCAACTTGATCACCAAGTACTTCTGGTGGTTTCAGTGATGAAACAGATACAAGACCAGGATCCCAATCCTCGACAGAAGGTTTTGGAGTTGGTGAATTACCGCCCCACTCAGTTACTTCAGGAAGTTGCACCCCATTAACAACTAGACTAGTAATCTGGCTTGGACCTGAAGCTTGAACAGGAATATTTGTAGGCAAATGTTCCTTGGTTTCAGTAGTCTGTCCACATTGATTATCATTGCTTGCCTTTGGTGGTGGACTTGGCATATCCTGGATACCTGAACGGTGAAAAGGAAAATCTGAAGATAAGGAAAGTAGTTCTTTTGCAGCTTGAACTTCCCAGCTCTCATAAGTACTCTTGGGTGTGGGACTGGGAAGATCTGAGACATTTATTTTTCCATTCTGATCAGGTGAATCACTTGACTTGGTAACTGACGCCAAATGAGTGCCAGAGTCTGTGTTTTCTGAGTTTGATACAGGTAAGGATCCAAATATTTGACCCATAATGCTCTGCATATTATATTGCATCTCATGACTGGCCATGTCAGTTGGCTGAGACATGGTGTTACCATACAATTTCTGATTTCCCTGACCTGTATCACTATCAGTATGAAGCCCACCACTATCATGCCCTATTTCCTGTTGTGCAAGACCCAAATGCACTTGCCCATCACTGGATGAATGCATCATGTTACATTCTTGAGGTTTGTCAGAACACGAATTATTTTCCTTCAGTAAATTCAAGCATTGCAACAAAGGACGGGGCTTCAACTCATCCGTCCTAACAGCATTTGGATGGACCTTATCATCACTATGGTGCCCTTCGCTTTCTTTAACTGTTCCATTTGAACTTCCATGCCACCCAGCATGGCCTCTGCTATCCAAAGCTGCTTCAAGTCCTTGATCTTTGAGTGTTGCATTATCCAAAATTTGAGAAGCTTTATGAAACTGCCCATGCAATGCATCACTTAAAAGTATTGACTCATTATGCTTGTCACTAATCCATACCCTCATATCAGGTGGGAACAATCCTGTCTTGTTCCACCTCCTCAACTGCATCATGGAAAATGGCCCTTGTATCTGACCACTAGGATCACGGTAATGCCACAATTTTTCTGTTTCACTATCATCACTAGAAGGGGCTGAATTTCCTGTTGAAAGGCTCGCAACTGAAGTTTCAGAACCACATCTAACCACTGACTTATCTACCTGACCACTAATCACTGAACCACAAACAGAAGTCTGATTTCCTCGGTTCCCCAAAGTATGTACTCCAGATGCCTGTCTTTTTTCATTTGGCTTATTTTGAGCCATGAGTGCAATAACAGCCCCCTCCACTTTAACTATAAAAATATACAACATTTCTAGTTATATGACAAGTTGAATTTTCCAAAGACCTAATCAACACTTCAGTTGAAGATTTTACCTTTCTTCATGGGGGGTGGTATTTGCTTGCTTCCACTCTTATTAAGCCTGGGGTTTCTTTGCCTCAGATTTTCATCTGCATAATATATCAGGGACTAAGTACTCCTCTATAACTAGACAGGTGAAAAAAATAAAATAAAATAAAATAAAAAGCAATCATTTGCAAAAAGATTAACATATCCCAGAGACCTTGTTTCTTGTCATCGGATCCTCCAGCATCTTCTTCAGATTCATAATTAGGGTTCATCTTTGGATCAGTATGCACCTCAGGAATTTCAAGCATTCTCCTACGGCGTTCCTCAGGTGTCTTCAAACACTGCAATTTCTCTATACATTCTCTGAGAGTGAGATAGTTAGTTAAGGCATTCCAAATACTTAATCATGTTCCAGATTCAGCAGCTAATCTATCTTAATTAACTCAATGAGAATGAATAAAATACAATGTGATTATCTAACTGAACACTGAACTACCTCAATGTTAAAACCAAAAAGGAATCTCCCTCACAAACTTTCTTAGTTTCTTAATATAAAGAAGCTATAGTGTCAACAATTCAAGAGCATAATCAGCAAAGCACTGCAGAATTATAGACTGTCTTCTTCCCTCTGAAGAAAAAGAAACCAATGTTGTACTTTTATTACGTCAGAGAACAGTTTAAACCAGACTATTGGTTGACTGAATTTGTTTTTCTAGTAATGGTAACTTATAGCATACACATAACACAATCCTAAAACAGTATGAACTATAAACAATAACCATTGGAATACCTAAAAGTAGAAAGGACCTTTTCCTCTTCATCTTTTTCTTATCTCTTGAATTTAGGTCAAGTTTGAATTAAGATGTCAAAAACTGAAATTATAATCAGCATAGACTGTACCACCAAAGGATATTCTTTCTTGCGTCCATTCTCACTTGCTCTATCACGAAGATGGTTGAGCCGCAATATCTCTGTTTCCAAGGACTGTATATGAAAATGAAAAGTCAACAACAGCAACAAAAAAAAAAGGTGGGAAAACAAAAAATTTAAGTGCAAGCATTAATCACAATATATTACTTCATTGAGTTTTACAGGTCGGAGTGCCATTGCTTTCTTCTGTATCTCACCCTACAAGAAAGTATGTGTTACCTGCTACAGGTCCTAGTAGCATTTTGCAAATACATAGAGGGAACATCAACATCAAGACTTACAACAGTCATCCGTTTTACAAGCCCACACTTAATACTTTGGCGTAATCGTCTGCATTCATCCTGAAAATTTGCAAAATCTAGTTAAAGATTAAGACATCGGTATAGAAGCAAATTCTTGATGTTATAGAAAGAATTATAGACCATATAGCATTTAAGGTCATTTGTTTAGAGGATAGGAAAAGAGCCAAGAGAGAAGAAAACGTTAGCATAACATTGCATAGAAGTATAGAACAAGATCTTTTACAGCACATGCACATGAGCAAATGAGACCATCAAATTTAATGATGTACTATAAAAGGTATTCGTCTTTTTCAGATGATAGTCAATGCCAAATGTCAGAACTAGCAACACGGACTTTTCATTCAGGAAGAAAAATAATGTCATGTGAAAGGATCAATCATCAAAGACAGTTTCCTATTAAAGAGAGTCCATTAACACCCAAAAAAACAAAAGATAAAAGGAAAGGTTTTATGTCTTCAACTTTATGAGATGATGCAAAAAAGGGATTTTAGAGCTTTTTGGATCAGAGAATGCAACAGAATAGATCATATAATAACATGAGAAGTTTTGACAAAACGGAACAAGCCTATATGAAGGAGATATATGTACGTATGTCAAGAGGCACAGAAATCATACAAAACCTTTACCCTTACCTCAGAGAACTCTTGATTGGAAAGAGTATCAATAGCTACAGCTTCTTTCTTGTCCAAGTTCAATACTTCAAGCATTATATCTGTTGTCTTCTCTCCAATCTTGTATGGTGTGGACACCTTGCTTGTACCTTCATTCAAGGTAACATTTTTAGTTAAGTCAGCAATACCTAACTTAGCCAACTGCAAAAGTTAATAAGTGCTTTTAAGAAAGTAATGCATTTATACCTACAACATGGACAAGCCTGTACATATCCTGCTTCTGATCGCTACCAGTTATTTTTATCCGGACAATTGACCCAACAACATCATCATGGAACTTCTGTGTGTCTTCCATGAGATTTTCCATCAAACTACGCCTCAAATATATAAGATTTATATTATGAGCATCAATAGCAGCATACTCATCAAGACTAACTTGTGGAGCTTTTTCTTCACCCTTTTTGCATGTTTTACGTTTCTTATTTTTGTTTATCAAGGATGAGTTAATGCTACTTTCATCAGTCTCCAAATGGCTAGAAATATCACCAACAATTCCAGCTGGTATAAAAGCATTTTTCTGGGTATCCTCTTTTATAAGAAAGTGGAACTCTATAAGCTTCAACATTTCAATGTGTCCGAGACGTGGTTTTCCAAAGAGATTCTTGAGCCTAAGATCGCAAATAATTTGACTCTTCTTGTGTGGGTCTCGAAGATTATTCCTCTTTATGTAGTCTAGCAAAAGTGCCTGAACATCAAACTGAGATAGAGCTGATGTATCACCATTTTTCATGTGTGCAACAAACTCCAACAACTCTTTAGTTGCCCATTCTGTGTATCCCGTCATATCTGAGCCATTAGCAGAGCCAAGCTTATCATTGTTTTGAGGCACATTAGGATTCATCAGCCCCAAATGTTCATTAGAAATGGCAATACCTGCATTTTCGGATTTCGCAGCACTTTGATTTTCAGAACTTAAAGAATCTTTCTTAGCTATCTCTTCCCTTTCCATGTGATTCTTAACTTCTATTTGCTCAGAAGGCTTGCCAAAAACACCTTTACTATCATTTGCATTAGCCAATTGGAGGTTGCTCTGTGCTGCAACTGCTTCTTTCCACGGGTTTTTTGCTTGAATAAGCTCATTTAATGTTAATGATAACTTTCCTTTCAAGTACATCCAATATACCTTGAAAAGATACTCCCAGCTACTTTTGTCATCAAAATCTACTTGAACCTGCTTAGGTTGTGATAAGCAGTGTAAATAATAATTGCATGAATTAAAAGCTCAGATTTTTTTATGGTGGGGAGGATAAGAGCAAAATAGAAGAGGCAATATTAATCATTCAATCATCATGTAAAATGATACTGTCTTATCCTTCCCATTTAAAACTTTCTAAGGCTGGGCTGGCAAGCGAAATCCAAGAAAAAACATATTAGTCAATCCTTGTTGCCAATACAGCTTGAAACACCAGTATTTAAACATGCTGGAGCAAGAGAAACAGTAAGGGAGCAAGGAGTGCAGTGATGTTTGAATACGTCTTTTAAATGAAACAGCCCAACAAGAATTTGCAGAGCAATCAAATATGGAATTATTTTAATGAACAAAGTGCATACCGTTTCCTTATTTGCTTCATCTTTGTTTTCAATCAACATGATAGTTCTCATGCACGTAGAACAAAAGCCTTTGTTTCCTCGGACAGAGAAGTAATCAGCATTTGTAATGCAACCCTTGCATAATGAATATGTACAAGTATAGCACATATAATGGGAAGCCTTCTGACACACACTACAAATATGCCAACCTGAAACCAGTTGTAATATCACTTTGTAAAATTACAGAATTCTACAATTTCTATAGGTCTATAGCAATTAAAACAAAACACATTTTGGCATATGCCACTAAATAAAAGAAAATGAAATGGAAAGGCACACTTCAAGCATCAAGAACTATAGAAAGGATCCTAAATATCTCATGAATCATCCTACATATCAAAAGAATGGAACAAGTAACCAGAAATTCAGAAGTAATAGGAACCAGAATATTATTATATTAATGCAAAGCTTAAAAGTAAACCTAGACTAATCCTCTACTCTTGAAATTGACCTCACACTTGGTATTACACCACCTGAAGGTCCATCATTGTACAGATTTGAAGATCAATGACCAGATAAAGTTCAGAGTCCCAAATCATTCAGATTGGAAATTTAATAATATAACAAAATACAAATACATCATAGCCAACCTACAGTATCAATAGTTGAAATGAAAGCATACCACAATTCCATTTAGCCTTAGAGCGGAAAAATGCCTCATCCCGCTTGATACAAGCTGGATGATATGCCTTCGGGCATCCCCTATCCATTAAGAAAACAAGTTATAATAAAATTCAAGCATGCAGATACCGGAGCTCATATTTCAACTTTAATAGAGTATCAAGTAATTCCGGCATAAGATTAAAGTATATTTTGCATCCAAAAGCAATAAAGAACTCAAACAGGACCCAAGCTAAAAAAGTAGGGAGTATATACACATATCTCGACTACTCACTTGCGATCGCACAGCACAAGAGAACCACCATCGAAGCATATAAAGCACACGTCTTCCTCCTCCTCCTCTACCTTCCTTTTGGGCGGTGGAGGTTTCCCCGCAGCCTGCCCCCGCGGCGGCCGCCCCCGCTTCCTCTTCTCCGGCCCGATCACCGTCGCCACTGAAGTGTTCACACCAGCAGCCACCGTAGACGGCGCCATCCCGCCACCAACCTGCATCACCGGACCACCGACCAGCTGCGCGCCATCCATACCCTGAACAAATGAAGTACACTTCCCTTGCGCCGCTTCTAAACTCTCGCGCCGCACGGCAGTCGTATCGCGGTCAAACCTTTGACTCTCAACAGCTCCCAAGCTCAGCCGGTACAGCTCGGAGTTGGAATCCATGGTGAAATCCGCGGGGCAAGCTAACCAAAAACCCTAGATGAAACTAATTTGCGTAGCGGTACCGAGCTCTGATCGAGAAATGGAGGAGCTGATCATGACTGCTCCGACGTCGTTTCAACAAGTAGAAAATTCTGAGACGAAAGACAGTCAGACAGAGAGAGAGAGAGAGAGAGAGAGAAAGAAAGAGAGAAAAAAGCGGAAATGGTGGTGACGTACGATTGGTTGTCTGGGTGAGAAAGAGAGATGAAGTAGTGGGGTGGGGGGTGTTGGGTAAAGTTTTCAATTTTCGGTGAACAAAGTCATGTTGCTTATTACACATGGATCGTCAAACGCGGCTCGTGGGGCTTCCTTTATCTTTCTACGGTAAATTTGAAACCGGCAACCGGGGGGGCCCCTTGGGCGGAGACCTTCGCTATATTAACTCCACATTTTTCTTTTCTTTTTTTATTGTTTTGTTTTTGTTTTATTATTAAGACTCATTAACACCTATTTGCACAATTGCACCTATCTTGCACGTAAACTTCAATAATTTATATTTTTGTTATGAAACAAAAGAAATAAATGTGGATGTTCAAGCCAAGATTTGACCTTCACATGTATAAAAACAAAACTACTCATCACAGATAAATACTAATCACATGTAAATTTTCCAACACATGTTTATGATAGAAAAGATTATGATTTTCCTGAAGATGTGGGTTATTGCTTACTTACATTGTTTTGCTTTTTGTATAACTTTATTGAGGTATTTAAATTTTCATAACTTTCACGATTTTCTGGATGGACATGTGTCTGAACCTCCGACTGGAAATTAGGATTCTACCAAATAAGGTGATTCAAATAATGAGGAATCTGTTTAGAGATGAATAATGAGAAATATGTCAACAATTTAATAATTGTTATGTAATGGTATTTACCTTAATTTAGTACTAATTTGTAATATTATGTTATATTTTCAAAATACAATCACACTTTTGTTTTATATATTCGAAATAAAATCATACGTACTGTTACGAATCATTTACGAAATATAATAGAATTTACGGATGTGGTGCCATTTTTGACAATTATTTGTAAGAGTTTTCCACTTTGTATAATTTAACGAATTGATCATTTTTAATTGATATAACTGTTTTAATAATTTATATTTATATATAAATTATATAAAATTTATTCTGTAACGAAGTATTTTGTAATATTTATTCACGCCATAGGGATATTTCGAGCATATCTCTTTTTACATAAATCTAATTAATGTGATTTAGAAGTTGGTGTTAGTAATATTATCTTGCTATATAATATTATTAAAATTAAAATTTAATTAATCCATCAAAATTACTTTTTAAATTATTATGATATTTTATAATTATTATATTATATATCTTTTAGTAAAGCCTAATCTAACTTCTCGTCTCCATTCTTTATATGGTATTATGTAATGTATATATAATCAAAAACGAAATATTATGAATATAGACTAATTAATGAATTAGGTATTAAAGTTTACCTTTTTTGAATTAACGTGTACTCCTTATATGGTATTTTGTAATATATAAGATATATGTAACAAAAAATTAATTAACATTATATTACACGGAATATTATGAATATAGACTAATTAATGAATTAGGTATTAATGTTTACCTTTTTTGAATTAACGTGTATTCCTTATATGGTATTATGTTTTTTTTTTTTTTTGAAAATCCTTATATGGTATTATGTAATTATGTAATTATGTAATTTATGTAAGGGAAAATGGCACTTTTTACCCCTGAGTTATATACTTATAGCACTTTTTCCCCCTCAATTATTTAGGTAAGCACATTAGCCCCCTCAATTATTCTAAAAGTGGTGCCTTTTCCCCCTAATATATTAAATTGACATTTATACCCTTAAAGTAAACATTTTATTTATTTTATTACTCCAACAAATTATTGCGTATACGTAGGGAGGACCACGGTTCGGTTTGAATTGAACCGAATACTAAAGCAATCGAATTAATAGTTTACGGTTATAATTCAGATCTAGAACCCAATATTTAAATATCAATTTATTAAAATTATGTATCAAAAAAATTGAATCTTGAACCGTGAACCGGCGGTTCCGGATCTGATTCGCGATTTTGAACCGTCTTTATTTTAAAATTTTATTTTTTATTTTAAAATAGTCTAAATTCAACAATAAATGTATTTTATTTTTTCAGTTCGGAACATGAACCATCCGTTCCGGTTCACGATTTTAATAAACTCTTAAATATCAAATTTTGATTCTAAATTGTAATTGGAATATTTCGGTTTGGTTGCTATGGTGTTTGTTTAGTTTGAACCAAATTATGGTCATAATTTGTTGGAAAAAAAAATTTTAATATTTAGTTTAAGGGTAAATATGTCCATTTAACATTTCAGGGGGAAAAACAGCCACTTCAATAATTTAGGGGGAAAAAATGCTATAGGTATATAACTCAGGGGGAAAAAGTGCCATTTTCCCTTTATGTAATATATAAAACAAAAAAATAATTAATATTACGCGGAATATGTGGAAATGAGTAAAACCAATTAATTGCTCAAAATGAGTCAATTAATTATGAAAATATTTTTATGGAGATATATTCTAAATGGATTCATTTATGGTAGTAATTAATTATGGTAATAGAAATTATAGAATAATATGTCAGAATATAGACTAAATAATTAAGAAATAATATTATGGTCATATTTCATGGACTTTTTATTCTTGAATTGACGCATTTATTATGCATAATATGCTACAAAAATATTAACTTATTATGCATAATCTATCTATACTATTATTAAAAATAAAATTCTCCTTTGTGTTTTTCCACCCAAACAATTAATAATTATTAATTAATTAATTAAATTAAAGATTAATAATAATAATAATAATAATAATAAAAAATGGAAAAATACAAAAGGATCTATAATTTACTTATAACGTTAGAAGTAAAAAATGAAAAATGGAAAAGGATCTCTAATTTACTTAATAATAATAATCTTTATCTTTATATTTTTTATATTTATATATAATAAAGCAAAATTCAATGCCACAAAATTTACTTAGTGTGTTTGCACACATTTAATGCGCGTTCGCACACATTTAATCTAATCTAGACCATTAAAAAATATTAGATGGATGCACATGATGTGTTCTCACGTTCTCACCTAAGCACATGTTCTCATATGATCCTAACTATATATATATATATATATATATATATATATATATATAACATTTAGATTAAATAAATATTTGTATTAATTACTTTATGTAAGTCTTTGTTGTCCAATGTTTATTGGATTTGTAATTTTTTTAGAAAATATTTTGGTATTTGAAAGGTTATTATATACATATCAGAATTTTTTATATAACATTTAGAGTAAATAAATAATTTTATTAATTACTTTATGTAACTCTTCGTTGTCCAATGTTTATTGGATTTGTAATTTTTTTTTATAAATATTTTGGTATTTGAAAGGTTATATACATATCAGAATTTTTGTTTAATTAACCATTTAAGATTAATATAACCGGGTTAATCAAATATTTTTTTTTTTAATTTTTGGAACCAAATGGAGGGATAAACCCAGATACAGCTCAAAAAAAAAAAAAAACCAGCGCCAGTTGGCCTGCCCGAGTTGGGACGATGGACCCTTGCACCCTGCTTATCTTCCCACAACACCTCTCTTACAAACCCAAGCAGATGGTCGAAAGAATGACTTCCCAACGCATGAGTGAGTGCATGATCAGCCAACCTATCCACTACTCTGTTTTGTTCCCGAACAATGTGTTTAAACTCCACATCCTCAAAAACATTGCTTTCCCTCTTGCAAGTTTTCATGATGTTTCCCCACCTTCCCGCCGTTTGAAAGCCCAGAGTCAAACCTCTTATAACCTCAGCAGAGTCACTTTCGATAACGACCTTGCTCGCACGGTAACCGGCAGCCATTCGCAACCCTACGAGTATCGCCCAAGCCTCCGCCTCATTCGCTTCGCACGATCTAATGTTGTGAGAGTACCCTCGCAGCCAATTGCCCTACGTGTCACGAAGAATACCTCCACATCCCGCTCACTTCTCTCTCTTTCCAGACATTTGAAGTACTCCTTCCTCGAGCAAAGCCTCTGGCTTCATCAATCGCCCCATATTTTGTGTTTAGAACTTGAGTCCACAAATTTTTCGGCTCCATCTTCATCCGCCATCCGAGCTTAGCCATGATGGCTGAGTTTACATCCCGAAGATTTCTTAACCCTAGTCCTCCCATTTCCTTGCGTTGCGTAACCTTGTCCCAACGTACCAAACTTATCTTCCTGGTATCACCCTCGCCTCCCCAAATGAAGCGTCTTGTGATACCCTCAAGCTTGTCGCAGATGCCCACAGGAAGCCACACTGAATGCATTGTATAGGTTGGCATGGCGCTAAGTACTGATTTCGCCAGCGTTACTCTCCCGGAGAACGTGAGGGTCTTTGTTTTCCACCCCTCCAAGCGCGCAGCAACCCTCTCTAATAAACCTGCGTAAGTCGATTGCGTGATTCGCCCGTGGATCGAAGGTACCCCAAGGTACCTACCTAGATCCTTCGTTTCGGGGATGTTAAGCGTCGAGAAGCAGCACAAAACTGGTCCAGGCATCCTTTAATAACCTCCACTTGGTCCACGGAAGCCTCCGAGAACAACACCATATCGTCAGCAAAACACAGATGTGACGAAGTCGGTCCCGAAGTAGCCAACTTTATGCCTTTCCAAGCGCCGTTGGTTACCTTTTCGGTGATAGCTTGGCTCAGCCGCTCCATGCAAAGGACAAACATGGCAGGAGACATTACGTCGCCTTGGCGCACACCTCTTTGAGGTTTAAAGCTTTCCAACCGCGTGCCGTTCCAAAAAATTGACATATTCGCTGTTTGGACGCATTCCATAATCATGTCGCTATTTGGACGCATTCCATAATCACCGGGGTCCACACGGTGTCAAAACCTGCATCAATAAGAGTTTTGTTAATGAATTTACAAGACAGGCGATCATACGCATTTTCTAAGTCTATCTTGATCGCCATAAGCCCCGTTTTCCCTCGCTTGGTCCGCATTATGTGCATCACTTCTTAGAACACTAGCACGTTATCAGTGATCTGCCTCCCGGGTACGAAAGAGCTCTGAGAAGGCCCCATGAGACCTGGAAGGGTGTATTTAAGGCGGTTAGTAATAGTCTTAGTTATTACTTTATACAACACGTTA